CGCAACCCCTCCCCCCCGATGGATGCTAATATGCTAAGCTAACGTGCTAGTAGCTACGAGGCTGGCCCCCCCAAAAAAGACTAACGTCTCATCCACCACGGTCGCTCTCCTGGTTCCAACAGCCCCCCCCTTCTCCGTCAAAACTCAAAATTAAAATGTCGCGCGGCGGCAAATACCTCTCTCTCCTTCTGTACTCCACATCTTCTCCCCTCGCCCCGTCAAAGAAACTATTTTATCGTCCATCCAAGAAGGGAAGAGAAGCGATGGTGGTGGCTGTTTCTCCGTCTCTTTACGTCCGCAGCATCCTGCTGAAAAACACAGCAGCTGCTCCAACGATCGCAGCTCACTCGAAAATGGCGCCGAAAGATACTGTCCTCATTCAAATTCGACAGAGCCTGCTGGCCCTCCTATTGGCTGGCGGCGGGCAGCAGCGCTCGCCGCTGATTGGCCCGCTTGCAAACGTACTCTCTAGGCGAGAGAGAGAGAGAGAAGAGTAAAGGAGAGAGAGTGGGGGGTGAGAGAGAGAGTGGTGGAGAGAGAGAGAGAGAGAGAGTGGGAGAGAGAAAGAGTGGGGAGAGAGAGAGAGAGAGAGAGAGAGAGAGAGAGAGAGGGGGAGAGGGAGAGAGAGAGAGAGAGAGAGAGAGAGAGAGAGAGAGAGAAGGGCCCAGAGATATTAACCCTTTATGAGCCTCAACGACTTTGGCACGAACCCAAGTAAGTGCGTTTCCACCCACAGGACCACAGCTACTGACGTTTTATGTTTCGTACGAGCTGTGATTCGACTAAAAAAGGTAACCAAACGAAAGGGAGAAAAGACACTGACCCACCCGGTGGCACCACTTTTCTTTATCTCTGGTTAACGTTTAATATTTAACACAGAGCCCTTTTCATTCGAAAAAAAAATGAACATACAGAGACTAAGGGGCATAAAGGTCACTGCACCACAAGATGGCGCTTTTTTTGTTTTGTTTTTTACAAGTGCAGTGGTAGCACAAGTCATCTTTCTCTATTGAAATGAATCGAAATGGCATTACTCCGTTCCAGCCAATTTTCTTCCAAAATTGAAACGTCTATCATAGTGTAGTTTAGAAAAACATACAATAATGGCATATTTAAATATGATGTAAAGAATTGAACCATTCTTGCCAGAGGTTTTGCTTCAATTCAGTGAAAATTGTCCTGCTCCTTCTGGTGTGTGCACCTTGGCCTCTTGGGGCAATATAATACACACATGTGGATATACCACACACACTCTTCACAGAGGATAGACAATACATGTCTGTGAGTATTGTCATTTCATCTGCCTTGATGTGCTGCTCCAACATGTGTGTTCAAATACCCATTTGTAAGTGTTAATAACACAGCCACACTGATGCTATTTGCTAGCCCGCATATGCCGTTTTACATTGTCCGTTAGCCTTAGTCGATATTGACTTATCTAAGCTCCTATATTTTGTTCTTCTACTTCTTCCTTTCATAACTTTGCTGCTGTGAATTGGGAATTTCTCCATTGTGAGACTAATAAAGGTTTTCTTATCTTAATGCAAAAAAGGCTTAATTTCGGTCAGTCAGTAGGCTTTAATTTAGAATTTTTTTTAAGCGATTGATTTATATCTGAATGACTTATTTTATCTCTTTATCGATATAAGTTCCGTGCTCACAAAGTGCAGTCCACATTGACAGAGTGCTTCATGAAACTTGAAAAGTTGGAATAATAAAGCCACAGGCTTGTTTGCATTACTGTTGTAATCTGACTTTGACTTATTGACTTAAGTTTATCCACACTCTGTGAAGTTGTCTTCATGAACACTTACGACACTGCAAGTCAAAGTGGTTCGTAGGTCAACAGCTTCAACTGAATTATTCAAGTAAACTGTCTTTTATATTAATTGATGGTTCATTTACCTTTATTTAGCCTAACCTTTATTTTGTTCTCCAAACACCTTGGCTTTAACCCTTTGAGGGACAGCGGTTACTACAGTGGACAACTTACGTTATCAGGTTACAGGGTGCATGAAAGGGTTCGATTGCGGAAAAAATAAATAAATTCCACAATATGTGTCACATGTGGAATACATTCACATGACTGATGAAATGTATTGGCCGAAAAACTCTTTAATATCCCCAAATCCAATTTTTGTTTTAGATGAAAAGATTTATTGCCTGCTAATAAAAAACAAAAAACAAAAATCTGGTTAAAAACAAGGCCCAGTATCGCATCAGAAATCCGGCTTACTTTCTTAATTTAATTGAGTTTCAAAGTCAGCACTTTATTGCTGACAAATCATGCCGAGGGCCATATGTAGCCTGGGTGCTTTGTGTTGTCACTCCCTCAGCTGAGTCAGTGGTACGGGCAAGACGGGCATGTCCAAACTTAACACGCAATAACACAATGAAAAAAGCGAGGTGAGTATCACTCCGTCATCCCGTCTATGTAAATGTTACAGCAATCAGAGTGGGCCGCATTTGGATTCGAGACAAAACAGGAAATCTGCAGGCAAACTTTGGAGCACAGAGAGACATTTTGAGGGCAAGTTTGATCTTTTCAAGAAGGTATGGGTAACCTTCAGCCTTTGGGACTATTTAATACGGATCGCCATTCAATTCTAAAAATAATCCCAGAGGAGGTTGGCACAGGCATATGGTTTACGATTTTATTCTTATACAATTCCAACTTTACTCTGAAATAAACACGGCTTTCTTGTCACATGATTCCTTTTTGTCCTCGTAAAAATCTGACTTGATTCTCGTGCGAGTGAAACTATTTTTTTCTCAACAAAATTACCATTTCCATACGATTACGTTTTTTTCTTTAAAAAAATACGACTTTTGTGTCCGATTTTGCAAGCGTACCGCCACGGGTGGATGATTACAAATCACAGCAGTGAAACACAGCGACCACTTGGAGGCCACCTTCCATCCAGGTTCTTCGTGTCCATCTGTGACAGTGTGCTGCGTTCAATGAACTGATTTCTACAAGGATTCAGAGCGTTCAATGCATGCCATTGTTATATTTATAAATGAAATACAACTATGACGCGTACCAGCGGAGCGCAGAATCAGTCTGACCGCGCTTTGATCAAATGCACTACAAATTAGGTTGCACCAGCTGCGCCACAACTTAGACCTGCTTTTAGCTGGTCTAAGTTTTAGCCTACTTTTTGTCATTAAATTGTCAGGTACACAGAGGGAGTGGAATAGAAAAGATCCTGAGTCCGCCGCAAAGCCCAGCAGGGAGCAGCGCAGTCTTACAAATTCCCCAAAATGATAAAACTAGACACAAAAATGAAGATGTGCCAGTTTTTATGCCAAGCGCATGTGCGCATGTAAAATGACAACTTTTTTTCTTATTATAATATGATTTTATTCTTGGAAGATTTTTTTTATTTTGCACTGAAAAATCTGACTTTGCTCTCATAAGATTCTGAAAAGTATGCCGTTTTAATTGAAGTCGTGATTGCAGTTTTAATATTACCGCTTGTCTGCACGTTCCCTCGTCTATATTTTATCTTTACGTATTGTTGTAGTAAGATGTCTCGGTGAAGAGAACATTTCTTTCATTTTTCGGTGAATAAGGCATGACCTGTAATGGCACAATCCAGGCACAGGCAAGAGATGAGCATCTATTTTTTTTCCCCAGATTTTTTTTTTAAAGTAAAAACCTGGAATTACAAAAGCAGGCAAGAAGTAAGAGGGTGCCCATTGTGTATGTGCGTGTGTGTGTGTGTATTCAGTTGTAGTACGGACAATGGGACGAGGAGGTGTGTGTGTGGGGGGGGGGGCAGTCACTTGTTTACAGATAAACTGGTTTGCACAGGAAGCCAGCAAGGAGGAGCTCTGTGTTGTTAAACAGGCATGTGGAGAGGCAGCGATGAGCCAGCAAAAACACCATACGGAAGAGGACGTTACACACACACACACACACACACACACACACACACACACACACACACACGCTGTACATACATGCGCCTGTAGTCACATTTTCAAATCCACATTGGCACCACTTGCACATCAGTCTCGCAGGAGAGTTTCATATGAAAACCCTGTCGCGCCCCCCTCCCTCTCCCACCCGCTGATTACACTGTGACCACTCTCTATAAGTGACATTAACAAGAGCCGCTGTACGCCTCGTTGTCATGAACGTTGGAAATGAACCAAGATTAAAAGACCCTCGAGGTCGCGAGTGCCCTGACAGTAGCCGGGCAGAGCGAACACTACTACTACACAGTCCGT